AGGAGTTTGAGGTTGCTGTGAGCTAGGCTGACGCCACAGCACTCTAGCCTGGGCAACAGAGTGAGGCTCTGTCTCAAAAAAAATAAATAAATAAATGTAGGATTTAAATATATATTGGTTTTCTGGGGTGATGTGGTTCAGTTTTATTGAATATTCCCATTACTAGTAAGGAGACGGAGTGCTCGTATATGCTTAGCCAGAGATAAGACAAAATGTCAGTTGGTAATTTTAAGATTATTTTATGTGTATTTTAGGTTCCAAGTAGTACCACCACTTCTTCTTTGTGTAAACAGCAGGTTATAATTGCAGCTATTTTATTCTGTGTTATTTTTCTCTGTTTTCACCCAGGTCTTAGAAGGAAAACCCATCTATGTTGATTGTTTTGGCAACCTGGTGCCATTAACCAAGAGTGGCCAACATCATATATTCAGCTTTTTTGCCTTCAAAGAAAACAGGCTTCCTCTCTTTGTCAAGGTAATTTACACGTGGAATTTTTAAATGCATTTTACTCAATATAAAGGTAGGATTTGATTTCCTTTAGTAGTAGAGAGTATTTCCTTTTAAATTTCTAGGGATTTTTTTCACCGTATCTGTAAAGTTTTACTGTCCTGGAAAACCAACCATTTCTATTTTTGAAGTTCAAAGTCAGCCTTAATTTTTACTTATAGACTATGTTTAAAAATGAGACCAGGCCAAATATTAAACAATTTATTAAGGAGAAACACTAGCTAGTCTTCCAAATTTGAAGGAAAGTCTATTTTACTATTATTACTTTTTAACATTTATGCTTAGATTTTAAAAATATATGTGAATTTCGCAAGTGTGGGTATCAAAAGAGTTCTAAGTGACAACTTTTTGTAATGAAATCTCTCAAAAGACCTAGCATCTCACTTAAGCTATTAAACAATTATCCCAGATAAAGCTATAGACTTGATATATTTTCATAAATTCATTCAACAAACACTATGGAGAACCTTCAATGCACCGGGTGTTTGTTGTCTCTATTTAGGAACATGACTCCAAGTTAGGGATTTGCAGTGATGTGTACAAGTTTCATTCTAGATTCCCATTCTAAAGAGGACCACAAATGAAGGAATGAGAGATTCATGAAATAAGAGGGAAGTAATAATTTTACTCTGCTCTATTTTACAGCCACTCTTTTTATTTCCTGTTTTTAAAAAAATTCATTTCACTAATTTAGAGGTCCTAATGCTCAGTCCTTTCAAGGTATAGGCTGGTCTCCATCAGTTTTTTCTAGTCCTGCTTCAACGACCAATTTCCAAACTGTTCATCAGCAATGACTCCTTTTATTATTTTAACCCTCCATTATTTTTGCAACCATGTGTCTGCAAACCCTTTTTATTAAGTTTTCTCAAGATCTCTGCTGAAGATTCTACCACTTCCGGTTCCATTGTTTTGCCTGATCGAAGATAGGTTCTTAGAGAGCACCACATTAATCAATAGCTGCTCAGGGGTAATGGATCCATTTAACACAAACTACTTTATAATTAAGCTAATATTTCATATAGTTGATGTATGGAAATCATTCTACAAACAACCCAATACAAAAATGGGCAAAGAACTTAGATATTTCTCCAAAGAAGATACGAAAGTCACCAATAAGCACATGAAAAGATGCTCAACAGCTTAGGGAAATGCAAATCCAAACCTTAAGGAGATACCACTTCATTCCCCTTAGGATGGCTATGATTAAAAAAAACCAGAAAATAAACAAATGTTGGCAAGGATGTGGACAAAACGGGACCCCAATGCATTGCTGGTGGGAATGTAAAATAGTGCAGCCACCATGGAAAACAGCGTGGTATCCCCTCAAAAACCTCAACTAGTGAAATATAGAATTAGAATGTGATCTAGCAATTTCCTTCTAAGTAAATACCCAAAAGAATTAAAAGCAGGGACTCAAACAATTACACGTGTTCTCAGCAGCATTAGCAACAGTAGCCAAAATGGAAATAATCGAAATGTCCATTGGCAGATAAATGGATAAACAAAATGTGGCATATACATACAATGGAATATTATTTGGCCTTAAAAAGGAATGAAATTCTGATACGTGCTACAATATGGTAAATGAAATAAGCCAGACACGAAAGGGTAAATATTATATGACTCCATTTGTGTGAGGTGCCTAGAATAGATAAATGCAGAGAGAGAGACAGTAGAATAGAGGTTATCAGGGGCTGGGAAAAGAGGGGAATGGGAAATTATTGTTTAATGGGTACAGTTTCTGTTTGGGGCAATACAAAGTTCTGGATAGTGGTGACGATTACACAACTTTGCAAATGTGCTTAATCCCACTGAATTGTATACTTTGAAGCAGTAAAAATGGTAAATTTTATGATACATATATTTCACCATAACTATTTCAAAAGCTGAGTAAGTTCTGGAGAGCTAATGTACCACATGGAGACTATAGTTAATAATAATGTATTATATACTTGAAATTTGCTGAGACCTTACCCGTTCTTAGCACAAATAATGGAGGGGGGAATTATGGGAGGCAGTGGATATGTTCGTGAGTTTGATTGTGGTAATCATTTCACAATGTATACATATATCAAATCATCGCATTGTCTGCCTTAAATATATGCAATTTTTATTTGTCAGTCATACTTCAATAAAGCTAAAAAAAAAGCTGGATGATTTTTAGAAAGTCATTCTAAATGGTAACAGGGAAGGAGAAAAAGGAAGCCCTCTGACTTCTTACCTAGCAGTAACAAATGAATTTATTTTCTTTTTTCAAGTGTCATCTAATTAAATAGTACATTTCAAATATGGGTGAGGCACGTATGTCATTTTTGTTCAAGGTACGCGACACGACTCAGGAGCCATGCGGACGACTATCATTTATGAAAGAGCCAAAGTCCACAAGAGGCCTGGTGCATCAAGCTATTTGCAACTTAAACATCACCCTGCCAATTTATACAAAGGTATCGTAGAATCTGCTGTAGTACGATTCAGGCAGTGTGGGAAGTGATTTTTAAAATCTTTCAAAATGAATGAAAACAAAGACGCTGAATCCAAGGACATATAGCAATCACTTTTGATTCTCTGTTAAATTTACGGTTTTCCATTTAAGTAAAGAAAAAAAATAGTTCGACTTTATTTTACATTAAATGCATTTTGATGGAAAAAATTCTACTAATACATATTAGACATGGAAGAGAGAAAATTGAGTTTAAGATTTAACTTTTTGAGCTTATTTTTAAAAATAATTGGCTTTGTCTTCATTTTTGTTCATCTTATAACATCATATTTAGGAGTATAAAAATTAATTTTTCAACTATTTTAACATGATTAATGTAAAAAATATTTCCCTTTTGCAAGGAGTAGAGTTAAAACATTATTGAAAAGGAAAAATTCATTAATTCTTGACCCAAAGTCTACCTACAGGCATTACTTTCTTTTCAAACTTCTCCCCATTATGTGATTCCTTGAATGATCTGATTAAATCAAAGACAACTGAATTAATTGAATGTTGTGGATAACTTCTTTTTTATTATTTGAAAGAGTTTTGTTTTATTTTGTTTTTTAACCAACATCCCTTTTGAATAGGAAACTCTCGCATGGCAATCTGTAGGTAGTTGCAGCGAATTTTCAGCGTGTATGTTACAGGTTGGGAGGGGGATGAGGTGTAGCTGCTGCGACCTGGAGGAGAAGGAGGGATATAGGGATATATGTAAAACCCTAAAGCTTGACTCCACAAAACAAAACATTTCCTCTACTTCTTTTTCCCCACCACAGTTGTCAAATTGTAGATTTGCTTAATTATTCTTATAAGTAGGGATCAGTCACAGAGCAAAAAGCTTAATAGCATCAAGTTTGACACTGTATCAATAAATTCTTACTAAATGACATGAAATATTATCTATATATAAATATACATATTATTCCAAGAATTAGAATATAGCAATGGGTATATCAACCAAATGAGTTTAATCTCATTGTACTCCGATGGTGCAGAATGTATTTTGGAGTTTGTAATGCTGTTCAGTAGTGAGTGACTGGAGGCAGAATGCCAAGTAAGAACCACAGAGAAATATGTACTGCTGTGGGCAAGTTGCCTGAACGACAGGAAAAGGTGCATGAGCTTTGTCTGATTTCAATGAGCTTTCAATGTGCTATAAAAGAAAGCCTTTATTTTATTATTACATTTTATTTGGAAGTCAAGACGTATCAGACACAGTTATTAATGTTGTGACGGTCCAGGATAATTTTCTATTTAGTCATTCAAAGCAAAATGAAAAAAATGCCAAACGTCATACATTTAAGATATACTTCAGAATTTAGTAGATCTTTATTATTATAATAAAACTTTTAAGTATTGTCTGGGTATTGGAAGTAATTTTACCATATGCTTATTTGTAGCATTTAACATTTTCAACCAGTATCTGTAATGACTAGAATATCTTCATCACCATTTCTATAGACAAATGCCATCAAATCCACTAACTGTCAAACTTTCAGACTGCTGGTGACCTGGCATCTGAAATTAGCATATTTATAGTTTTGGTTCTTTTGTCTCTTGAAGGTACATACTTTTGTATTTCGATCAATGCTCGTTAAATTTTCTGTCTTCTATAAACTGTTAGTAAGAAAAAATAAGAGTGTACTGACTGTATGCTTGGCTGTTGAAGCTTGTTGGCAGAATATTTACTCCTTTTTCTTCTTCTAAATACTTTCTACCCTTCCTTCTCTCTTTTTTTCCCATCTTGCATGGCATCTTGGGGCGGCAAGGAATCAGAGTCAGATCAAGAACAGGAGGAAGAGGTAATTTTATGACAGTGTCACTTGCTAATGGCTGTGTCATTGCTGTATCACTACTAAGAGCGCATAGTTAATCCATGTTCTTAGAAGGGGTAGGCAGTTGTTCTTAGTAAATAAAGGGGCACAACTTTACTTCAGCTCTCTGGGCATCTGTTTTCTCATCTTATGGACTGACTTCAGAGAATAAAGTTTCCCTGTAAATTGTTGCCATCTACCAACTACTGAAGGCAAAACCATTATCTCACCAGTTCTCAAAGGTTAACCTAAAGAAGTCTGCAGGTCAAAACATTTTTGGAACAGTACTAAGACATTCTTTGCTTTTTTAACTCCCACGTCCTCACAAGCTACAGAGGAGTTTTCCAGGGGTAATATTAGATGTGATGACATTACCACTTTGACAGTCAGTGGAATGTGTGCTTGTGTATTCTTGGGTTCTAGCATTTTCTCAGGTATAATTTGTAAAACAGGTATTTATTTATACATGTCACACATCAACAAAAGTTCTTTGGGCTTCTCAGTAATTTTTAGGAGTGTAAAGGGGTCCTAAGACCAAAGAGGTGGAAAATCACTGAGACCAAAAAACTTTAGTTCATCCATTAGACTATCATAACATTATAGTGCAGAACTATACGAATAATGGGCATTTTTTATAAGCTAGGTCTTTACCTCAACACTGGTCTCTCACAACCACCTTAGGAGGTATGTACCATTATTATGTCATAGAAGAAGAAAAGTCTTAGACAGGTTACCTTGAATAAATAGCCATTTGAATTATACCTGCTTCAATAGGTAAAGCAAATATGTGTTTGTTTCCCTCATAAAAGATCTGAAAATGCCCACGTATTATATCAATGAAAAAAGTCATTAGAAAAATTTTTATATTTACCTATTAATAGGTCAGTTCCTATTTCTAAGATAAACAAATGCAGTTGTTATTAGTTATGTGTAAGTGTTTTCAAATGTACCAGTTTTTGTTAATGTTATTCTGATGCATTTGAAATAGAAAAATATAAAGAAAAATATAATAAATAGCTTTGTACCCACCAGATTAAAATATAAGGCCTTCTCAGTTCAGAGAGTTCCCACCAATTCTTGGCGGTGGAGCAGAGCGAGAGGGTGATTGTAAACTCATAGCCCTGCGCACAAACAACTGATGACAGGACTGAAGTCATCTTTTCCCTCAACTGCAGAGTCACTCTTTGTCCCACATACTCAGTTTCCTTCCTGTATTCAGTGACCCCATCACCGCAGCTGTTAGACATGATACCTACACACCTGCTTGGAAGAGCAATAAAACTGTGAAACCATCTTTGGCTGTGTTCACAAATGAATTTTTTCTGTTAGATGATGATTTTTCTACTGAACAGTTTCTGGAACTCTTCCTGGCCGTATAGCCCGTTTTTATTCTTTTCAAGATTTGGAACATTGGCTTGTGATTAATGATAATGAAACTACGCCTGTCGAATGTATCACCCTGGCATGCTGTGTGTCATTCTCTCCTTTTTCTCCACTAAATTGACACCTACTGTTAGTACTGACTTCACCCTTTCCTGACCCTCTCCCTAATATGTATGTATTTCTAACATCAAATAGCCTGGGTCATATCTTCCCAGGAATAACATGTTAGAAAGGATTTTCTACCTATAGTGTTTAGAAAACAGATATTTTTGTTCAAAGTTAGGATAAGAATCATGGAGACTCTCAGGAAAAACTGCAGCGAATCACTCTGACCTTCCTCTGGCTTGTGGTGTCACCCCCGTGTGTATAACTATGAACAGCAGCTTAGTGTGCACATCAGGGGCCGTGAGCCAAGATGCTATTTGTAACCATTCAATGTATGTATGTTTTCTTTCAGATCGATATGACATCAGAAAAAAGTAAGACTTTAAATAAAATTGAGTTTGTTTGAAAGCTGGCTACAATTTTAAAAAAGCATGAATTAAAATGAAAGCTAGTTGCCATTACTAACCACTATAATAATTATATTTTTATATTATCTGTATTAATCATTAATATATATTTATAAAAGCAGCTTGGCCAGTTCAATTACGAATATATCTAATTTGTCAGCTAATTAGCAGTAAAATGCAATGATTATTCATCTAAGCATTCACTTTCTTTTGACATTCTCGTTAACCCTGATATTGCTGTTATGCTTGTTTAGAAACCTGCCCTACCGTTTGTGCATCTGTTAGCATAACATTGTCATCTCATTCTATTTTAAGCACCGACATGACAGTATCACTTTTTATACAGAGCAACAGTGACTTCTGTAGAGAGCTCATTATTTTTGTGGGATACACCTGCGAAAGTGATACTGTCTCCTAGTTCTTAGCTGAAGCTAACTCCCCACCACACCCCCAACCCCCATCCCTCCTGCACTCCTTACTGTGGTGAAGTGTAACTAACATCTTCAGGGCTGAGGTCTAACAGACTTTTTTGAAAATTTTCAAAAAAAATCTAGGAGCCAAAATGCAATATTTAAAACTTCCTGTGTGAAATGACTAATCACAACGGCGTGTTATTATAAGACTGATTTTAAATAATGATGCAAGTCCCAAACTTGATCTAATACAGAGAGAACTGTTTTTTACAGACCTTAAAAGAGCCATCTTAGAACCCCCTTCCAGGTTAGTAATAGTCAATCCACATTTTAGTTCGTTGGCCTGTTTCTGGCGACTCTCTGGTTTATTGTGTGGAAACTCAAGTCGAATTTTGTTAAAAGTTTCTTGGCTTTTGTGGCCCAAATGCTCTTAGAGAAAAAAATTCTCATTTTTAATGTTTGTTGGTTTTAAGATTCATTTTGATTTATTGTATTTCAGAGTAATGTTCCCAACAGGAGAGAACTTAGAGCCATGTTCCATATGGTCATCTGGCCTTATACAATGAGGGCTTTATTTTAAGCCCTAGCACAGGGTAACTTACTACCAAGTTATTGAACTAGCTTAAATTGAGACTTAGCCTCATGTTAAATCATTATTCAGGACTGGAATGTTTGAGATTCTGGATGTTTTCATTGTCTTATGTAACTTAACAAATCTGTATTGATATAAGTTATTTTAATACATTTTGTATATGTATATTCACATATTATGTTTCCTCAGCAAACACAGATTCTCTCAAGAGAAGGCATTTCTGTTTCTATATTATCATTGCCTTCGTTGATTCCTCCTTTTTTTTTTTAAGTGACTTTGTTTTATTGTCCCACTTTCTTCTTCAGAACTCTGTTTATTTAAATGGCCCTTTACTTTGATCCTTGGGTTTAGGATAGAAAGAATTAATTAATCCATCCATCTGGCTAAATTGTTAAAAAAAAAAAAGAAGAAAAGAAAAATGTGGCCATGTTGCTATAACGCAGTGGATTCTCCTGATTGACTCCCAGATGTTGTGAATGTTTTAAACGTTTCAAATCCAGACTCGTGTTTGGTTCTGTTTTAAAGACAATCAGAAAATAATCTACAACTAGGTATAAAATAATCTCTAAAGCAGGACTCTGCTGAAGGAACTCTTTCCTAAAGCCTTTTTATGAATAAACCTTAAAAGAGTTTGACTGAGTTTTCCTCCTCACCTTTAACTGGTGCAGACTCCCCCGCAACCTGTGCCTCGAATACGCTACACTCAGCATCTCACGTGCGGACTTGTAGGGAAAGGAATACACTTCACCACCGTAACGTTTTACATATTTGTCCTAATTTCTTGCCATCCTCCTGCCCGTGCGTTTCAGCAAGGCCGACTCTCCCAGCAGTTTTACTCACCTTTGCTTTGCATGGAAATAACTTGGCTTACATAAACTGTGCGTGTGTCCCGTGTGACTGTCTCTGATTTGGGTTGCCATGCATCACATTTTAACTTTGGACTCACATATAAGTTTAATCACAGTTGTTTGTGTTGTTTTTCCTCCCTTTCCTTTATTTCCCTCCTTGGTCTGTCCGTTATGTGTTTAACAAGGAGGTTGCTCCAAGGAAAGGACCATGCCTCTTAGCACCGGACTGTTTGTTTCATTGTTAGGTGTGAATTTCCCTTAGATGAAATGCCGGTTTGCAGCTGATTCAAATATATTTTATACAATCATTGCTTATTGGCAGAACTAAATATACCAAATTTCAGATTTTTATATTATTAAATGTATAGGCATCATTAGACGTTATTCTGAGTTTGCTACTGCTGGCTTTCTCCTAGAGGAAATCAACTTTCTGCAATTTCTAATGCTTTTTTCTTATAATTTTCCCATGGTTGGTTTTTTTTTTTCAACATTCATCTGTAACATCTGAACAATCTTGAGATACCTCGGTGTAATTTCACTGCGTTCTTTCTTTGTTTTGATTTGTGGTGGTTTTTTTGTGTGTGTGTCTTGATTCTTTGTTATAGCTTTGTTGTATGTGTGGATGTGCTACAAGTGAGAAAATTAAGCAAGTTATTTCCTGCTCATTTTTCCTTTTCAGTTTTTTTTCCGTTAGCCTTGCTTTGCTCTTGTACCCTGAAGCCTTGTGGATCCACCATTCCCAGCCCATTTTGTTGCCCCTCCCACCACGACAGGAAAAGAGGCTGTGTCGTTTCAGTCCTGATTACATTTGCCAATATCTTTTTTGATTTCCATTTTACTTTCAATGTTTTTCGTTCACATCAAAGATGATGAGACAGAATCTACAGAAACATCTGTCCTGAAAAGTCACCTGGTTAATGAAGTTCCTGTCCTAGCAAGTCCGGACTTGCTCTCTGAAGTTTCTGAGATGAAACAAGATTTGATCAAAATGACCGCCATCTTGACCACAGATGTGTCAGATAAGGCAGGTTCAATTAAGGTCAAGGAGCTGGTGAAGGCTGCTGAGGAAGAGCCAGGAGAGCCTTTTGAAATCGTTGAGAGAGTTAAAGAGGACTTAGAGAAGGTGAACGAAATCCTGAGAAGTGGAACGTGCACGAGGGATGAAGGCAGGGCGCAGCGCTCGCGGTCTGAGAGGGAATTAGTGGAAGAGGAATGGGTTATTGTCAGTGATGAGGAAATAGCGGAGGCTAAGCAAAAAGCACCTTTAGAAGTCACCGAATATCCATGCATAGAAGTTAGGGTAGATAAAGAGACCAAAGTAACAGCAGAGAAAGACTCAACAGGGCTAGTGAACTACCTTACTGACGATCTGAATTCCTACGTGCCTCGTCATGAAGAGCAGCCACAGACGGTTCGAGACACGGCAGGGGAGAAACGGGAAGCTCTGGCGGTTGGCAGGAGTTCTGAAAATAAAGGGAAAGATCTTCCCCCAGATGAGACACAGAGTGCACAGAAACAGCTCAAACCAAGCTTGGGAATAAAGAAGCCGGTAAGAAGGAAATTAAAAGAAAAGCAGAAACAAAAAGAGGAAAGTTTACAAGCTAATGCAGAAAAAACGGAACTTAAAAAATGTAGTTCAGAGGAATCATTAGATGAAGACACAGGTTTAGCCCCGGAACCGCTTCCCACCACAAAGGCCACGTCTCCTTTGATAGAAGAAACTCCCATTGGTTCCATAAAGGACAAAGTAAAGGCCCTTCAGAAGAGAGTGGAAGATGAACAGAAAGGACGAAGCAAGTTGCCCGTCAGAGTCAAAGGCAAAGAGGACGTGCCAAAAAAGGCCACCCCCAGGACGCATCCAACTGTATCGCCCTCTCTGAAGTCAGAGAGGCATGGGCCAGCGCCTCCGTCCTCTAAAGCAGAAAGACACGCTTCTCTTTCCTCTGCAAAAACTGAAAGGCACCCCCCAGTATCACCATCCAGTAAAACTGAGAAACACTCACCTGTGTCACCCTCTCCAAAAGCTGAGAGACATTCACCTGTGTCATCGACAAGTAAAACTGAGAAACACTCACCTGTATCACCCGCGACAAAAACTGAAAGACACTCCCCTGTGTCATCTACAAAAACAGAAAGACACCCGCCGGTTTCCCCCTCAGGCAAAACAGACAAACGCCCACCTGTGTCACCCTCTGGGCGAACAGAGAAACATCCACCCGTATCACCTGGGAGAACAGAAAAACGCTTGCCTGTTTCACCTTCTGGAAAAACAGAAAAACATTCGCCTGTATCAACTGCTGGGAAAACCGAGAAGCACCTGCCTGTGTCACCGTCGGGGAAAACGGAGAAGCACCTGCCTGTGTCACCATCTGGGAAAACAGAAAAGCACCCACCTGTCTCCCCCACCTCAAAAACAGAAAGAATTGAGGAAACCATGTCTGTTCGGGAGTTGATGAAAGCTTTCCAGTCAGGGCAGGACCCGTCAAAACACAAAACTGGACTCTTCGAGCACAAATCAGCAAAGCCAAAGCAGCCACAGGAAAAAGGTAAAGTTCGGGTAGAAAAAGAAAAGGGGCAGGTATCAACTCAAAAAGAAACACAGAAAACAGACAATCAGACAATCAAACGAAGTCAGAGATTCGTTGTAACGGGAGCTCCAGAATCCAGAAGAGGAGTCCGTGTTCCTTCCATCGGGTTAAAGAAAGAAGATGCAGTTGGAGAAAAGGAGAAAATTCTCAGCCGCAAAATACCTGACCCTGTTGAGTCAGCACCTGAAGAAAAAAGCCACAGAGAGAGTGACACCCCCAAAGAGAAGATGGCGGATGAGCAGGGAGACATGGATCTCCAGATCAGCCCAGACAGGAAAACCTCCACTGACTTCTCTGATGTCATCAAGCAAGAGTTGGAAAACAATGACAAATACCAACAATTCCGCCGGAGCGACGAGACAGAAAAGGCACAGCTTCACTTAGACCAAGTTCTCACTAGTCCTTTCAACACCACGTTTCCACTCGATTACATGAAGGATGAGTTCCTGCCCGCTCTGGCTTTGCAGAGCGGCGCTTTGGACGGCAGTTCGGAAAGCCTAAAGCAGGAAGGGATCGCAGGTTCCCCCTGCGGCAGCCTGATGGAGGGGACCCCTCAGATTAGTTCAGAAGAAAGCTATAAGCATGAGGGCCTAGCGGAGACCCCCGAGACAAGCCCAGAAAGCCTTTCTTTCTCCCCCAAGAAAAGTGAGGAGCAGATTGTGGAAACAAAGGAAACCGCCAAGTTAGAAGCACCAACAGAAATTCATTCAGAAAAAGAACCTCCCACAACCAAAGACGTTACTGAGGGCTCTGAGGAGCAAGGTGCTGCCGTCACTGAGGGCTCAGAGCCCTCCCCTGAGTGTCTGCAGAAAGAGGGCACTCGAGACCCTTCCACAGACACGTGCCCCAAACGAGACAGTGATCGCCCGGGCAGCTCTAGCATATCATTAGCAAAGGAAGTACCCGAGGCAGTGACTGAGGAAGCCGCCTGTGATGAAGGTCAGTCCGCACTTGGTAGTTCAGCCCACGAGACACAAACTGTTAGTGCAGCTCAGGAACCCACAACCCCCTCAAATGAGACAAAGGCCTCCCCCCTACCTGATGCTTCTGTAAAGACAGACGCAGGCGCAGAATCAAAGCCTCAGGGAGCCATTAGAAGTCCCCAAGGGTTAGAACTTGCACTTCCTAGTCGAGATAGTGAAGTCCTCAGCCCTGTGGCTGACGAATCCTTAGCAGTAAGCCACAAAGACTCTCTGGAAGCCAGCCCTGTGCTAGAAGACAACTCTTCACACAAAACTCCTGATTCTCTGGAACCAAGTCCTCTGAAAGAATCCCCTTGTCGTGACTCTCTTGAAAGCAGCCCTGTTGAACCAAAGACGAAGGCTGGAATTCTCCCAAGTCACTTTCCTCTTCCTGCAGCTGTTGCCAAAACAGAACTTTTTACGGAAATGGCCTCCATGCGGTCCCGGCTACTCCGGGACCCTGACGGCAGTGCTGAGGATGACAGTCTCGAGCAGACGTCACTCATGGAGAGCTCAGGGAAGAGCCCCCTTTCTCCTGACACCCCCAGCTCTGAAGAAGTTAGCTATGAGGTCACACCCAAAGCCATAGATGCCAGCACACCAAAACCAGCTGTGATTCATGAATGCGCAGAGGAGGATGATTCAGAAAATGGGGAGAAAAAGAGGTTCACACCGGAAGAGGAAATGTTTAAAATGGTAACCAAAATCAAAATGTTCGATGAACTGGAACAAGAAGCAAAGCAGAAAAGGGACTACAAAAGAGAACCTAAACAGGAAGAGTCTTCTTCATCCTCTGACCCAGATGCAGAGTGTTCAGCAGATGTGGATGAACCAAAACATATGGGGAGTGTGGAGGGTGAAAGTGATGTCCCTGTCTTGGTAACTTCAGAGAGCAGAAAAGCTTCTTCCTCCTCAGAAAGTGAACCTGAATTGACACAGCTGAAAAAAGGTTCTGACTCGGGCCTTTTGTCTGAACCAGTTATTCGAGTGCAGCCTCCTTCTCCACTTCCATCCAGCATGGACTCCAATTCCAGTCCAGAAGAAGTACAGTTCCAGCCTATAGTTTCCAAACAATATACTTTCAAGATGAATGAAGATGCTGAGGAAGAGACAGGTAAATCAGAAGAAGAAAAAGACTGTGAATCCCATCTAGCTGAAGACAGTCATACTGCTTTCACTGGGGGTGCAGATAGGTCTGACGATGATGTAAACAGGGACGCTGATCAGCCAAAAATGTGTGACGGTCATGGATGTGAGGCCATGAGTCCTAGTGGCTCAACCACTCCTGTCTCTTCAGGCCTCCAGAGTTCAGCTGGTGATGATACCGATGAACAGCTAGTCACCCATAAAGAACCATTAGCTCCCCAAGGCACACAGGAAAAAGACACAGAAGGAGAAGAGCTTGATGTTTCTAGAGTGGAATCTCCACAAGTAGATTGCCCCAGTGAAAGCTCTTCGCCTCTGTCCTCTTTGTCTCATTGTCCAGTATCTGAAGGAAAAGAATTAGATGAAGGCATAGCCTCCATGTCTTGTACGACAAAAATGGAGGTCACGAAAACTGACGAAACACTTGAGAGCTTGTCAAAGGACTGCTCCACGCAGGATTCATCCGTTACGACTCAAACAGATGGATTTTCCATGGATGTTCCCGTGTCTGACCTAGCTGAGACTGCTGAAATCTACGGTCCTCAAATCACAAGCCCTTATGAAAATGTTCCTTCCCAATCTTTTTTCTCTAGTGAAGAAAGCAAAACTCAAACAGATGAAACAGATGCAAATCACACCACAGGTTTTCACTCTTCTGAAGTGTATTCTGTCTCTAGCACATCCTCCGTTGAAGATGTAGTAATGGCAGCCTCATCTAGTGGAACTGTTTCAGGCAAAGAATCTAATGTTGAGGGCCAGAACATGAACATAGAATCCAAACAAGAAAGTACCTTATGGGAAATGCAATCAGATAGAACTCCTTCATCTTCAGAGCCTACTGTGCCAAATACACCAGCAGTTGTTGGTGAACAAATAAGCAAAGTCATCATCACAAAAACTGATGTGGATTCTGATTCCTGGAGTGAAATTCGTGAAGATGATGAAGCTTTTGAGGCTCGAGTGAAAGAGGAAGAGCAAAAGATATTTGGTTTGATGGTAGACAGACAATCACAGGGTACCACCCCTGACACTACTCCTGCTAGGACCCCAACTGAAGAGGGGACTCCAACAAGTGAACAAAATCCATTTCTCTTTCAGGAAGGAAAATTATTTGAGATGACCCGAAGTGGTGCCATTGATATGACCAAAAGGTCTTATGCAGATGAAAGTTTTCACTTTTTCCAAATTGGTCAAGAATCCGGGGAAGAGACTCCCTCTGAAGACATGAAAGACAGAACGACTGGGGCAGAGCCCCCACAGCTGGAGACATCAGCTGAGTCACTAGCACTTTCAGAATCAAAAGAAACAGTGGATGATGAAGCAGACTTACTTCCAGATGACCTGAGTGAGGAAGTAGAGGAAATATCTGCTTCAGATGCTCAACTTAACTCCCAGATGGGGATTTCAGCCTCCACGGAAACATCAACAAAAGAGGCCATTTCTGTAGGGGCTGAGGACCTCCCCGCCATGCAAGTGGGTGATGCACCTCCTCCATCTGGTGTGAAGCAGACATCTTGCCCTGATTCCCCTGAACCAGTTGTGAAAGTCCAGTTAGATTTTTCCACAGTCACCAGGTCTGTATATTCAGATAGGGATGATGATTCTCCCGACTCTTCCCCAGAGGAACAGAAATCAGTGATTGAAATCCCTACTGCATCCATGGAGAACGTGCCTTCTACTGAAAGCAAATCCAAAATTCCCGTAAGGACTATACCCACTTCAACCCCAGCACCTCCATCTGCAGACTTTGAGAGTTCACTTTCTGAAGATTTATCCAGTCTGGATGAGGAAAGTAAAGAGGATGAAGCAAAACCAAAGTCCAAAATCCCTGTCAAAGCATCCATCCAAAGAGTTGAGCAGCAGCTCTCACATCTAGACTCATCTCTCCAGGAGACAGTGGCTCCTCAGGGGCGGGACATGACAAGCAGAGCACCAGATAATAGAAGCAAATCTGAATCTGATGCTAGTTCTTTGGACTCAAAAACCAAATTCCCAGTAAAAACCAGAAGTTACACTGAGACGGAGACAGAGAGTGGACTGGGGGAAGATGAGCTTGAATTAGAATCCGAAGGAGAGGCCGCAAGAACAAAGATATTTGCATCTCGATTGCCAGTTAAGAGCAGAAGCACCACATCTTCCTGCAGGGGGGGCATGAGTCCCACCAAAGAAAGTAAGGAACATTTCTTTGACCTTTACAGAAACTCCATAGAATTCTTTGAGGAGATTAGTGATGAGGCTTCCAAGTTAGTGGATAGACTTACACAGTCAGAAAGGGAACAGGAGTTAGTTTCAGATGATGAAAGTAGTAGTGCCCTGGAAGTTTCAGTAATTGAAAATCTGCCACCTGTTGAGACCGAGCACTCAGTTCCTGAGGACATCTTTGACACACGGCCCATTTGGGATGAGTCCATTGAGACTCTGATTGAACGCATCCCTGATGACAATGGCCATGACCATGCTGAAGGTATTTGCCAGCCACTGGGATTCCCTGTGCTACGCATGTCATAAATTTGATATAGTTTTTTTTTTTGTATGATTGTTTTATTTGGTGATTTGTGTCTCATTTTCTTTAAGCTTTCTGTAGTGATTAATGTGTTTCTGTAAGCCCTTTGTGTTTTGTGCTTTCTCTGTATACTCTTGTCTATGAAAACAATCTCAAGATTGAGTAATGAGAATGCTTATGGAAAACATAAACATAATAACCAGGCAACAGCGACCTTGCCTTTTCTTTAGTCACTGCACGTTAAGGCCATGCAAGCTTTGAGTTTTGTTGTTCTGAAGTCCCAAGCTTAGCCTCAAATCAAGAACTTTTGCTTTTGCACATGAATATATTGGTTTTTGTTTCATAGTACGAGGACTTTTAGTGCTTTTTCTTCTTACCTTGGGGTACTTTACAATAATTTGTACTTACAATTTTGTAATCATTAGGAAAGCATTTGCTTAAGAAGATTTTCTGTGTCATGAAATTCTAATTGTTGTGGATCTGTTTTTGATTCAGAAAGGTTGGATTTCAGATACCATTGGTAAACACTTTAAGCAAACAAACCTAAGGTAAAAATATGCTTTTCATTTATTTGGTAAATGAATGACAAATGTACTCCAGTTATATGCAGCAGACAACAAAAACTCAAACTTTGCACGATTTAAGTTGAATGTTGAGGGGATGATGGCTCTTTGAATTATGAAAGAGAAAACCATAGATGGCTTTGAAAAGTAGCCTCTGGTCTTCCAATATCTCTACAATGAAGACTGTTATTCTTAATTTGGGTTATATAAAATTTTGGGATACCGAGGTCTAAAATGCTGCCCATTGGTAAACAGGAGTTAAAAATGAATGGGAAAATTACAGTTTGTGGGAATGAGTAATATATGAGCTTACTTAGTAGCACACAGGCAGAAACCTTGCCCAAAAGGCATATGCATACTGATACAATGTACACATACAGACACATACACATTTATCCTCTCTTCTTCCAAGGTCACCAAGACCAAGACAAATGTAGTTTCTGGCTACCCTGGATAAATCCAGGATGGTGGAATCAACCTATGATCAAGATCTCTTGCAAATCTCCAGTGTGATTTCTTTTTTCTTTAGACAGAGTCTTGCTCTGTTTCCCCTGCTCGAGTGCAGTGCCATCATCATAGCTCACTGTAACCTCAAACGCCTGGGCTCAAGGGATCCTCCTGCCTCAGCCTCCCGAGTAGCGGGGGCTACAGGCGTGTGCCACCATGCCCAGCAGATTTTTCTAATTTTAGTAGAGACGGGGTCTCGTTCTTGCTCAGGCTGGTCTCGAACCCCTGAGCTCAAGTGATTCTCTCGCCTCGGCCTCCCAGAGTGCTAGGATTATAGGCGTGAGCCACCAGGCCTGATCCAATGTGATTTCTTTCAGATATGACCTGGAAGTGATTTATATCTCCATAGGCATTGCTAGGAGGTCCTACCAATTACTCTACTTCTGCGTGCCATTTATGATTTCTCTGGTGTTTTATGAACAAGGTGGTTGTCTTCTGGTGGGCAGTATTCTCTCAGTTAATTTAAAAGGAAAGTCTTAACATTACTAGAAATCAGCCACTTATATAATTATGTCCAATAACTAGTCTTGATTAAAGAGATATGGAAGCAGATGGTTTTCATGATTCATATTTATTCCCCATTCCACCCCAGAAATCAGACAAACATACAACCTTAATATGATCTAAACTGTAACGGCTAATTTGTGCTACCATCAAATATTTGGACAAGTGACTTCCCTTCTTTGGATGAATCTGGACTGTGGTTCCTCTCCTGTCTTAGACAACCTTTGGCCATTCTGTTTTTGACCTTCTGTAGATGCACAGGATGAGCAGGAACGGATCGAGGAGAGGCTGGCTTATATTGCCGATCACCTTGGCTTCAGCTGGACAGGTAAAATGAAGTGTGGCCCAGCTTTTCAGCAAAACCGGCATAGATGCATCAGCCCAGCATCATTAACAACGAAAAACAGTCTTTTCCCCTCTTTGTTTGAGGAAGAACATGAGCAATAACGAAAAGCATAATAAACTAAGAACTACATAATCCAGGCTTTGCATTAGCTAATGGTATAGCCTAGGGCAGACCTTTTATCGGCTCTTTCATTGTTACTTAGAATAATAGAACCTTAGATTTGAAGATTTTTGAGAATACACCAACCTTCATCACCCTCCTTTGGCAGTTTGGATATCTAAATTGGGGGGAGATTATTGTGTTTCAAAAACCATCGTGGGATGTAATTTTCATAAAATTTAATTTGAGATTGAACTAGGGTTCCTTCTTTTAGATACCTTTTGTCAGATATCTTCATAATAAACAGCATTAAAATTTGCTTTGGCTGAATGTTGAAGCACACATAAATGGGTTGTTTCACTAATTTTTGAGAAATGGAAGTGTTTAAGTATAGAAATTATATGTTAAATAATTTATTAAGGGAAAATGAATTCTAAACTCAATATGGTTTTATTTACAAATCATGATTCGTAGGCTTGAAAAACTATACACTTTCATCTACCTGTGACTTAACCATATTAAAGCACAATTGTCAGTGTGACTTTTTGTTTTTTAAGTCTTTTTTTTTCTATCACTTGTGACTGACTACTACCTTGAGACAAACATTATAAGGTAATATTCTCCTCCTTTCAATGTCTTAAAGATTCGATGATGAATAAAAGTCCATAATACTCTTAAAGATAATTGACAATTTAGAATAAATGACTAGAATCAGGAGGAACACATATCGTCTCACTTTTAATAATTTTAAAGTAATTTTTACATATTTATCAGGCTTATTTAATTGAGCGATTTAGGGGATGGAATGATATAAAAATATTCCTGATTGTCTTACTAGAAAAGTAACATTCAGAATTATTTATTTTATTCCTTAAATGTTTATGTATCCATACATACATATTAAATGTAATAGGTATATATTTGGTGAAAATTCAAGCCCTACAACCATATAGCATGGTAAAAAATGAAAAGTAAATATATCCCTCATACTTACTCCTGCTCTTCTAGGCCCATGCCTCGAAGGTAACTGCTAACATTATTTCATGTATTTACAAAAATATATAATGCCTATATATATGCCTATCATTTAAAAGTAAGCAAAATTTCACTTAATATTTCTCATAAATATTCTGTCAGGATAGACATACCTGTTTAATTCTTTTAAGTGGCTATTTAATTCCACTGTATGAAAGTTCCATAATTTTATCTAATGGCCTTTGTTGATGGATTTTAGGTTGTTTCCTGTTAATGACAGTAAATAACCTTGTGCACTGGTATATTTTTGTGAGTATATATAGGGCATATTCTTAAACATAGAATTGCTGGGTAGGAGACATGTATTTTTAATTTTGAAAGATATTTTCAAATTGCCCTCCAAAGAGGTCATCCCATTTACCCGCCATATACACCTCATAATACATATGCATCCATATGGAATATTAATGATAGAATTTAAAGGAAAACTTTGTGGCTTCTTCCCTAGGTCAATGAATGCTTCCCAGACCTTTTATTCACGTGACATCAAATCAAAGAAAGGAGTTCATCCAACCAAAAACCCAGAAACAGGATTTATAGCACTTAAAACATCACCTATGATAATTAAAAGGGAGAAATGTTTTTTCTCCTGTTTTCAGTCATTTGTTTGCCGTTATCTTGGTTAAGAGTATAAGCAAGTATTAAAGGTCTCATTTGCATTTTGGAATTAAATGAGTCTGAATTATACAAATTTTATCATCACTGCCTCACACATAATATTTTTGCTAGGAAGTGATCAATTCTATACCCCGTTTTATAGGAAAAATCCACAATTAGTACTAGAAGAACAAAGGCATATGTGAGTTACTTCTAATATATAGAAATATAATAAAAGAACCCAAATATTCACCCCAATATAAAGAACACATCGTTTATAAAAGCACAAAGCAAGGTGTAGAGATTCAAACCTTGAAGTTAATATGTTAACAAAGTGATATTTTTTTCTTCTAGAATTAGCAAGAGAACTGGATTTCACTGAGGAACAAATCCACCAAATTCGAATTGAGAATCCCAATTCCCTTCAAGACCAGAGTCATGCACTTTTGAAATATTGGCTAGAAAGGGATGGGAAGCATGCTACAGGTAGGTGGGGCCCTGTGCACATGCTTGGCTAAAGGGGGAGATGCCTTGCTTAACAACTCCATCTTGCAAATTCAGTAAAGTAATAAAACAACAAATGCCAGTACTCTGAAGTCCAGCAGGTCCTCGAATAACGTCATTTTGTTCAACATCATTTTGTCGATGAGAAAAGAAATAAGATTCCCTGTAGGGCTACTGTGTGGCGTTTGTGTGTCCTCCCCACGTCTGCATGGGTGTTCTCCAAGTCCTCTGGTTTCCTTCCACATCCCGAAGATGTGCACATGAGATGAACTGGCATGTCTGTTGTGTCCCAGTCTGAGAGTGTGTGTGTGTATGTGTGTGTGTGTGTTTGCACATGCACGTGCACGCGCCCTGCCATGGGATGGTGTCCTGTCCAGGATGGGTTCCCATTTTGTGCCCCGAGCTGCTGGGATAAGGCTTCAGCCACCTGTGACCCCAAATTGTAATAAGCAGATTGGAAAAGGAATGAATGAATGAGTGTGAGTTATTGTCAAATAAAAATTCATAAAGTGTCTAATAATCATACGCGTACATGACAATGAAAGGTGCAGTACGAAAGCACTCGGTGAGCTTGCCCTGTTTGTGATTGGTTTTGAACTGGGTGGTGGGAGGGGGTGCTACTGACACTGTTCACTTTGAATCATTTATTCCTTGATTGAACTCACCACCACTGTGATTGCTGTCACTCACTGATTCACTAAAACTTGGGTAAATAGTTATCTTAGTTATTTTCATTAATCTTTATTAAATGTGTGTATAGGTCACTTTTATTTTAATTTTAACCTTAGAAGAGTTTTGGATCTTTATGTAGAAGTTTGATTATGTTTTTGTGACCGGAAATATGTCGTGGAACTTAATTTTCATTTATATCAATTAGCTGATGGTAAAATTGGTTTCATTGTGCATTATTTTGCTTAAAGTCACAGTTTCCAAGAACTTCTCGACGATGTCAAGGGAAGACTTACTGAACTACGATAAGCAAATGAGAACAGCTATTGCCACTTCTAAAATATACCTGTTGCATAAAAATCCTTGCACTGCATGCCTGTGAACAGTGTTAACTAGTGGAAAATAGTATCAGCACTGGCTTCTAACAGGAATGTTATTCAAGTCCTGATATTTTCCAAATATTGACAAGAGGGTACAATTGCTTTAATTAGCATTGTTTTATTGGTAGTGCATTACCAATACAATACCAATACCAGTAAGTTCCTGCTTCCCTTACTTCTAAAAAACCTAAGTGGGGAAAAAACTGTCAGCTAGATATTTTATGTAATAATTTATATAGTATATTCTGAACACATCAAATAAAATGGGGAGAGATATAGCCCATAGCTTCTCCTCATCCCTCAGCTGGTCTCAATTTGTCACTTCCTGTGATGTCTCCTTGAAAATCTACCTGGGAGCCTCTCTCTATATCCAGTCTATATTTATCATTTCTTCTCTTTCTACATACTATTGTTAAATTTAGCAAATAAAAATAGCAGGGCACCTAGTTACAGTTTCAGATAGTTGACAAATACATTTTTAGTATAAGTATATCTATGCAATATTTGGGACATACTTATTCTAAAACAGTATTTGTCTTTTAATCTGAAATTCAGACATGACTGGGTGTGCTATGTGTTATCAGGCAGCTCTATTTTTAGGGCTGGCTTGCATCCACCATATGACACCTTTTTTGTGCATATCTTTTTTTGTCTGTTTGCATATTTTTACAAAGACCCTTAATTAGGTTTTGGTTGTTTCCTGTACAAATCTCAAAAATTTAGTAAGGCAACTAAATGAAAGAGTCTTTAAAAAGAGTACCTCTCAGATATAATAAATGCTTCTTCTCTACTATCTCAGATACCAGCGTCATTGAATGTCTCACCAAGATCAACCGAATGGATATTGTTCATCTCATGGAGACCAGCATAGAACCTCTCCAGGAACGCATCAGTCATAGCTATGCAGAAATTGAACAGACCATTACACTGGATCATAGTGAAGGTCAAAGTGTGTGTGTGTGTGTGTGTGTGTGTGTGTGTGTGTGTGTGAGTGTGCACGTGCTCCTGTGTGTAGTTAGTTCGGGCATTGGGCTTGCTGTGTCTTGGTGTTTAGAAGGTGGCCCACGGCCATTGGTGATCATGCATTCTTTTCCTTGCTACCCTGAGACTTCCCTGCCCATTTTGTTGGTGCCTGCCCAACCCCCCACCGCTCATTCTTTGTTATTTCTCCATCATCCTGGGTGATCCATCCAATTCCATTTCCTCACTTTCGTGATCGTATCTCTTATGCTTGTATTTTTTACTCTACCTTCGCCACCCATTTCTGTCCACACAAGCAATACTGTATCATTACCAGCAACTGTCCTACCTCTAGGTGCTAACTCGAAGCATTGCACTGACTTCCTTTTCTACTTCTACACCAACACTTCTTCAAACCCACTGGGACCTCCAGCCACCTTTTCCATGTTTAAGTTTCTCAAACTTGTTGTCATTTACTTGCAGCTCAGTGACTCTCTTTCTCTGTCTCTGTTTCTTATCTCTATTTCACATGTTCTCTTTTTCCTTCAAACTTCCAACATTATCTCCTCTCCTTATTTATTCGCAGATGAGGACCAAACTTCATGTTTCCTAGAAAAAATAAGAATAATCACAAGCAAATGTCTGTATTCTTCCACCATAAAATCTACCATCTCGAGTGCATTCTGAATCAGGCACATACTCTACCTTCCCTCCTATTGCAATGGATGAAATGTCCTTGCTTTGCTGAAGCCATCGTCTCTTCTTTTGTACTGGATTTCATCCCCTTTTACCCAATCGAGAACGTCACTGCCGAGAGTATCCATTCTGGCTTCCATCAACTGGACCACACCTAACAGCACTGAAAGATGCTTTAATAGGTTTCGTCTTTAAGAACAAAACAAAGCAAATGATGTCTTTCATTCTATAATATGCCCACTGTGTTACTGCTCTGTTTCGCCATCCTTTCATAGGAAACCTCTTAAAAGGATAGAATTTTCTTTGCCTACTTCTTCTCTTCCCTCTAGGACTGTCTCTAGAACTCACTTTAGTCAATCTTGTAAAATTCACCAATTGTTTCCTCATTGTCAAATCCAGTGGGCAGTTCTCAGTCTTCTACTTAACTTCACTTCTTAGTGATATTGGCACAAATAATTAATCTCTTCTACTTAAAATGTCTTCTTACTCTCCATGACACTCCTGTGTCTCCTTTTTTTTTGTACTTTATGGACTATTCCTCCTCAGTCTCCTTTTCTATGGCGTCTTACTTCTCATGGGTTTCGATGATCGTGTGTGTTAGTGTTAAGCGAGAGCCTCATAGCTTGTCCCCATCTCCCTCCCTCCCTCTCTCACTAGTCCCGACACCTGGCCTCCTTGCTGTTCCTGGAGCACCTGAGCATTCCTGTGCCTCAGGACCCTTGCACTTCCTATTCTTTCCACCTTCAAGTGTTCTTCCCTCAGATCGTCGGATACCTTTTCCTCTCACTTTGTTCTGGTCACTGCTTAAATATGACCTCCTAAGGGGAGCCGTTCCCAGCAAGTCTATCTAAAATACTAGCACTATTTATTTTATACCCTGGCTTACTTTTCTCCTAATATTTAACATATATATGCAGAAATGCAAGTTCAGTGAGGGCAAAAGCTTTTTCAATCTTGTTCACTGCTATATATCTAGCATCTGAACAGCACCTACTACATAGTTGATGCTCAGTATATATCTGTGGAATGAATGAATAAATAGATGAATGTCAATCACTCCTCTGCCAAATCTCTTCCAATGGCTTCTCATTGCCCTGGATAGAATGAAATTCCTTAGCCTGGCATAAGAGACTCTACGTCAAAAGAATACTGGCCTCAGGGTACTGCAGCGACGGTTAAACAAATTAATATTGCAAAGCACTTAGAACAGTACCTGACAGAGTAAATATCCAGCATGTATTAGCTATTATTTATCATCGTTATTGTTAACCCTGACTCCTCCCGTAGATTCTATGCCTTGACTATCATAGTTGACTCCTACTTACTATTAGATCTCCTTAAGATATCACCCCTCTGCATTTCCTTTCCAAATTCTTTACCCCTGAGTTAGGTGCTCATGCATTCATTAACTGGCACCTGCAGCCAGTCATGCTGCTTTTGGGTGGACTCTTCCTTGCCTGTGCCCCCTGCCATGATCAGCTTCTCGAAGGCAGACCCTTTATAGCCCATGGGCCTATCTCAGGACACGGCACGCAGTGGTTACTTGATGAGTATCCATTTAATATAGGAGAGCTTCCATTAAATACTTAATTTAAATCTTCCTTAGGGTTCTCAGTGCTTCAAGAGGAGCTATCCACCGCACAGCATAAGCAGAAAGAGGAGCAAGCTGTCTCTAAAGGAAGCGAGCCTTGTGATCATCCGCCCATCGTCTCCGAGGAAGATATTTCTGTCGGTTATTCCACTTTTCAGGATTCTGTCCCCAAAACTGATGGGGACAGCTCAGCAACAGTACCTGTTCCCCAAACTGAGAAGGAGCAAGTGCAACAGGATTTCTCAGGGAAAATGCAAGACCTGCCCGAAGAATCATCTCTTGAGCATCAGCAGGAATACTTGTGAGTTTCAAAAGAAAGCCTGTCACATGTACGTCTAAAGAAATAGGCCATTGTGGCCAGGATGCCAGGCATGTACAAGCATAACTAGTTTTTAAATAATATTAAAATGACCCCACCAATAACAAATGCCAGAGCTACAGGAAAAGAAAAATGTGACATTTAAGAGATAATTGTGATCATGTCGTATAACACAGACATGCTTGGGCCAACTTCAGTTCTGTGACTTTGGACAAGCCCTTAAGTGTTTCGAATCTCCATTCTACCCCTATAAGTTATGATCATAATATGCACTTTACCCATCTCACGGGGTCAAAGGTCAAAGAGACGCCTGTGGCAGCATTGCTTAAACTGTAAAATGTCATGTAGATGAAACAGCTGTGGTTTGTAGTGTTGTTGCATCGTTTGCTCTGTAATGTTTCAAATACTGTGCCCGGTGCATGGCTGACATGGAGTAGGAACAGTGACGGTGTGGGTACAGCAGCCCATGGCATATTTCAGCACAGATATAAGGTGGCTAACTATAAAAATATAAACACAATACAAATTATTCTCACAGAATAAAAGACCATAAAATGAGGTGGGATGGAGTTGCGGTGGGAATAAAAACAAGGCTTTTAGAGAGTTTCTGGCTGACGGAAGTTGAGGAACATGATTTGGCCCAAAATTTAAGTTCAGGGATTTATGGAAGCAAGGAGAAAGTTGTTTAAGTGACACTGGTTGTCCGGAAAAAGACGACAGATCATGAGAGTGGCAAACGTGTCCCCAACCCTGAAATCTGGGAACAGTGTGTCATGAGATTGCATCATGGCATTGCCTTTGTCAGTAAGTGAGTTTTGTTTTGGGGTCACTGACATGAGAAGAAGGGGGAATGGGTAACAAAACCCTCTCTTCTTCCCCTGAACCCCCTCCCCTCTCCCTACAGGTTTCAGGGGAGAGAAGAGGTAAGAGAAAGAGACGGACAGAAGGGGGATCACAGAGAGGCACGCTGGCCATTTGATATCTGTGAAGTGGCAGAAAACTGCCCTAACTACCAAAAAAAGTTGGGGGGAGAAAAGGCAAAGAATTTTCTTATTTAGTAATTGAGATTATTAAAGGTTTTGTTGGAATAACTCCAAACTATATCAATGGAAAACGTTTCAGAGTCAACCGATCCCTCTACTAAGTAAAAGTTTTTCAGAGGTACAATAGGAATTTCCCTATATATACGATTATGACAACTGTATTAACATGGAGATTTAATTAATTCTGCCAAATTGGATTCTTGCTTCAAAAACCTTATTATCTACAAATTTTTGTTATCTAAAACTCAAGTCCTCAATATTGAGTTATCAAAGAAAAGATGAAATTGCGACACATACAATTTGTAGAGGTCAGATAACTGTAATACACTTTAGGATAATTTTTATCTTCCGAACACATCACTCTCTGTCACTGGTAGATCCATGAGCTACAACTCAGTAGTATATCTTACAGCATTATTTTTCTTCAAATTACCTTTCTCGGACAAATTTGCAAAAACTATTTTGACTCTCATGGACTATGAAGAGGAACTCCATTTTCCCTTGCAATTCCCTTTCTTGAGTAGGAGGAGAAATGCAAATAACCCTGAGGTATCATTTGGCTTTTTCATTCCAGTGTGACATCCCCAAGAACAGAAGTGTCAGAGACTCAAAAGTCCATGGTAGTACCTGGCTCTCCCAGCAAGACACCCGAGGAGGTTGGTAGCCCCCCTGAGGAGGAAAGGCTGTACCCCCAGATGCCAGCGCCCAGCGGGCAGGGAGGCTCTCCCATCATACAGGAGCCCGAAGAGCACCCAGGACGCGGGGACGAGAGCTCTCCGCAGAAGACGAGCCTGGTGATAGAGGAGTCTGCTGATGACCAGTCGCAGGCCTTGGAAAGACTCCAGGAAAATACAGCATTTGAAAAGGTAAGACTTTCTTTCCTCTCCATGTCCTTGCCGATCTGGAATGAAGCTACAAACCTTCTTTCAGTTTCCATTACTCAGGTGGTTTATTTTTTTCATTTCAAGGCGAAAAAATGTTACCAAATTCATTCATCTGAGCCATGGTAACCCTCAATCCCTTTTAAAATCTGAGAGCCAATGAATCTAGAAGAAATGGTGCACCGTGCCCAGACTAGCTCTTTGACCAGAAGCCCTCATATTATCACCAGAAACTCTTTTGCTAAGAAAAATGAAAACTGGGATGAAACAATGTATGTGATGTAGCTTTTTAAAATTAGTAAACTTAGGCATGAAAGCTGATGGTAGAGATTGACGGAGTGTCAAGTAAGTGCCAGCCGCGGGGTGTGCGGGAGCCAGCAGTCCTGGGGACAAGCACACGACCTGTGGATGTCAGGCCTGGTGTAGCTCTCCAAATGCATTTTCTCATCAGAGGAAGGATAATTTCCAAATTAGATCTCATTAGATTTATTTCAGGAATGACTTAGAAAAAGAACATCATGCCTAAACTTACTGCCGTTTCTAAATGTCTACATGCCTGACGGTGGCATGCGATCGCGGCAAAGCATTTCCTTTGTCATTGACTTGTGAAGTTGTGAAGAGGGGTGGGGACCATGTGAAGAAATTCATTTAAACCATTTGTTCCCCAAACATGGCCTATATAGTTCACATGTCTCGTAATGAATTGGGGAACTTGATCCCTCTTCAGAAGTCCCGAATCAGAATCCACCCCTGGGAGGGAGAGGGAGCAAGAATCTGCATTCTTACATAACTCCCTAGAAGATTCTTACACACAGGAAAGTGTGAGACGTGTTTGAATTAAACTTAATTTAATATAAGTTAAATTAGATATTTTTTCCTTTCAGAAAAAATCATATTTTATAAATTGTTTAGATGTTATAAATTTTATAAAATTTTATAAATTTTTATTTTATATAAATTTTGTATTTCAAAGTGTTTTTAAAGTATTAATTAAGACTTAGTAGTAAAAGATGAGTTGTATGAAAAAACTGAAATTTGCTGGGGAAAAGTAAGTGATGCAACATAACTTTGGGCTTAAGACATACACTTGTTTAGTCACCTTAATGGTGACATCTGCTACCAGGATTTATCTAAAATCATCGCTAAAGTTAGGAAGGTTCCAGGCAAATGAAAACTATGTCCTGATTTTGACAATTATCTGAAACAGTTCATCCCATGAATGGATTTTTGTTCCAAATTTACTTTGCACAGAATTTTTCATCTCTCAGATTTTTGGCTTAAATGAATACTAATAAAAATGTTTCATGCATGCTATCTGGGCTTAAAAGTTACCAAATTTAGCCTAAGAATCTAGAGGCTTAGTGAAGTCAAACTTGAAACAATTATCTGGATAATTCATATGTTTAATCTATTCTATATAAATAAACTTTGATAAGTCGTTCTACATTCTACCTACTTTATACAGGCCTGTTCCACTTAATTCTTGATGAATATCCAGTTATCTCTCTTAAGCTTCCTGTGTTGACCTGTAACTTCTCCCTAACTTGGGCATCCAATTTCAATCCCTTTTCTTGCTGACCATATTTCTAGATGGTAGATTTCTGATCATATTTAAGGTATAATTTGGTTTAGAATTTACATGTCTTCCTTTAGCAGAGACAAATATAGAACTATAGCTTCGGCGTTTCAAAATATGTTAAGCAAATTTAGCTGATTTTTCTCTTTTTTAAAAATAACATTTCATTAGGGAGGAGTGATTCGATATATGACTCCCAAGATGTATGCTCTAATCAAAAATCATTAATATGTTTTCGCTCCATCTCTGGCTTTGGCCCAGACCCATAAAATCTGATTGGCCTCTGCATCTCAACTTCTCTGCAATATGAGTCTAATATTATTCACAGACCGCCTTTTTTGATGTCAGGAGATATACTACTTGCTAGATAATAGCTATGGGAAATTTTGACTTCCTGCAGAAAGTTCTCCTAGAAATAGGAGATATTCTGGGCCGGGCTCGGTGGCTCACGCCTGTAATCCTAGCTCTCTGGGAGGCCGAGGC